AAGTTGTAAAAAAATAGGAGAAAACATGTGATAATCTAGCAAAAAAAAAAAATCACAGTGCAATTTAATGCTCAAAGATGAAAGAAAAATATAGTGGAATACATACTTTTTATCATCTGATAAATGGTAACAATCTTTCATATATCGTATTTTTCACTATAAAATTAAAAAAGAACTTCAAGGAGAAAAGTAAAGTGTGGAGTGGACACTATCTGCAAGATCTATTTGGGAAATTAAGGAAATAGTCCTTAACCAAACCTATTTCACCCCACCAAGGCATCTGTGCTGTGGGCCTAACATCCAGTGTCATGCTAGATGGACATCTTAGCACATAGGGTCACACAAATAATATTTAATGGTCTAAGACAGCTTTGAGAGTCTGAAATTCACTTACTCATTCCGCCTGGAAGGGCTGAGACAGGCATTGCAAACTTGACTTTGGCATGAGCCAATAGAAAGTGGAACTTTCTGTTGAAAGGTTTGAATTCACATGGGCTGTGCTGCTGATTGGGAAACGGTCATGGCTTTACAAGTAAATACAAGCAAAGTGTTTCCATGGCTTGACTCACATAGTGGCTTGAGCAGGGCTCCCTTTGATTGTCTTAATGTGCAGAAAAGATAGCTGAGAGCCTATTATAACTTGGGAGTGTAAAAGGCATATTCCCTGTGATTGTGCCTTTGAGAATTCCAGAAGTATTAGAGCAAAGTTGATGCTAAGGACAGATGAACATGTCTCCCACCTTCAATACCATGGAACTAGTTGCTAAATTTGTAAGTAAAGGTGAGGCTTTGTTCTATGAGATTGAAATGTCATGTTGGAACAGACACGGTAAATTGCTAATAACAACAATGATAATAATAATAATATCCTCTGTGTTCCAACAGTATTGTTAATCAAGTTGCTCTTTATACCTTGTTTCACTTTGGTGTCACTTCAGTGCTGGTAGTGATGTAGTAATCAAAAACTTCAAAATTATCCAATGTGCTCAGCCACTAAACTGTTTATGAGAAACATGCACCAAGACCAGAATCCTAGTGTCTACAGAATTTTAGGCCATCATGTTTCTCCAGGATCGGAAGAACAAGGGTCACTAAATTACCTTTCAGTTTTTGACATGGGTCCGATCATTGTGGAATTACTCTGAGAAAGTCTTTGGTGGAGGAACAAAACTTGTGGTCATAGGTGAGTATCAGAAGAAGCTATTTCTAAGGTGCTAGAGGGGAAGAAAAAGTTGATCTTTTTGGAATAACAGTATGTTCGTTTAGCAAAAAAAAGGAATCTGAGGGGAATTTGGTGGCAAATCTTAGAGGTTTTGATACAAATGCATATATTAAAGGATACTATAGACAGTGCTGCATGTGCAAATCTTAGGGTTTGATTGTGTGGATATGTGAACTTCTACTAAGTGCTCACATATAATGCATACAGCAATACCATTAAAATGTTTGAAACTGGGACAAAGTCCACTGTTTGATGTCTGTGATAAATTCACTAAAGTGGACACATTCCCTTTTCTCATGGCCAAGTGTTCTGCAAGAGAGTGTGAGTTTCATAGGGAGGCAGATCGGGAGGCCTGGCTACACCACATAAAGCTTAGTGAATGTGGGTGATGATTCTTTGGCTTGAGTTTTTTAATCCAGTGTGAATCCAGGTTATATAACAATTTAATAACATGATATGAATAAAGCTCTCAGATCGTTTTCCAATGTATAATAGGGCCCAATAAATGTTCTTCCAATTCAAATGTAAAGAGGATGTTTTATCCAATCTGGAGAACGGTTTTCAGCAAATTAATTCACAGAGAAGAAATTTTCCGTAGGATTCACCTGCACTTCTGGCTGCTCAAGCGGAAGGTTAATTTTAATGTCTACTCACACAAAAAGAAATGGAATCTGGAGAGTCTTGTTTCTTCTTGGAAAAGTTTTTCATCAGTTGGCAAGAAAAAATTAAACAAGATATTTTTTAAAACTTGTCTTGATCTGTGGGCTTTAAATCTATCTATTCTTTATCTTAATATCTTTAAAAGTAGTCTTAATTAGTCCCAAAATTTTTAGCCAATACAATTAGGCTTCTCACCACATTTGTCAGAAGAAGAACTTTAAATTCATACAGGAAATGTTCAAGTTACAAAATCAAATAGAGTTGGAAACCAGTCATAAATCTGAAATGCATATTTAAATATAAAATAGCTATAACTATTTGGTGGAAGAAAAAAAATAAAGTGCATAAACTTTCATATATAGATTCGAAATATCATGCTCTCAAGAAAAAAAATACCACTGATATTTGGTAAATTTATATATAATCCATTATCACTGCATGTTAAAATACAAAGTTTTTTATAAATGCAAAGTTATTTAACGCAGAGTGTATTATATAAGCAGGTAAATGAACATATACACATGAATAAGACAGTTTTATTTGTGAAATAGAGAAAATATACAGTAGGTATATTCTGTTATTCAAATAAGATAGAATAGATGCTACTCTAGGCATCACAAAACAAACCTCCCAGGAAAAACACTCTTAATACAGTATTTAAAAGCCATGTTTAAAAAGACAATATAATATAAAAATCTATAGTGCATGTAATAGCCATATAAATCAAGTACACTAATACTTAGCTAACTATTGTAATGAGAAAGTTATGAAAGGTAAAGATTTATTTTTTTCCTCAAAAGTATGAAACTTAGGATATTTCCAAGGAAACGAGACAAGAAGCAATGAAGAGTGTGCTACTGTACAGAAATATTTTCTAGTTCATCAATTGATCAATTTCTTTCTTATAATAAATACCAAGCATTTGTAAAGAAACACATGCTCCTGTGATGAAAACTGGATTTAATATATTGACTTAGGCTAAAATTATACAAAGCACAATTGAAAATTTAGTCTTTTTATTATAACATGCTTTTGCACTACAAATAATGTATACACCTGGAGAAATATAGACTGTCTTACTATTTGCACTAAAAGCAAGATGTAAGAATTTAAAATAACATTAACTCAATTAAAGCTGAAAAAAAAAACATTATCACCCAATTGTCTACTCCATGCTCAGAAATATTCATACTGCATACTTACTGATTGAAACTAGTGTTAGAGAATATTGGCAAAGCATTGAGTGTCAGTTGAAAATCAAACTAAAAAGTATTCTAACATTTACAATAAGTTATTAGATTAAAAATGTGTAATCTGAAACAATGCCAGGTACCTGTGATGTGTTTGTAACCAAATGTGAGACTTTCTGTTACAGTTTAACACTGTGTCTGCAATAAACTCTGGAACCAAACTTTTAACATTGCACCAGTTTTATGTACATTTTGTTTAGCAGGTTAGGGTAAGAGAATAAAAGAAGTACCAAAATATAACATAGCCAAGGGGTAGACACTAATTTTGAGAGAGTCAAAATATGGATACGCAGCTATGTATACATCCTTTTGTCATGTGGTCAATTAATATTAAAACAAGTATAAAAATTCACTTTTGATGTATAGTTAAAAATGCATGAACTTCATATGAAATTCTAAACTTAAATATGATTTTAGTGAACATTTTCCAAAGCAAAGCAGAATTGGGATAAGTGTGCTAACTGGTAAGACTAACAGAGGAGCATTATTAAAAATAAACAATAATTTTACTTCCCAATTATGGAACTATCTCTCCTTTGCTTCTAAAGGCAAGAATAAGTTGAAGTGCAGGTTTAAATACTGCCTGCTCCAAAAACCTTATGGTAGCTCAGATGTGAAAATGAGACGCTGAATAGCAATAGAGATTAACTGGGAGAACTTGGAGAACTTCAGAACTGGGAATGAGACCTGCATCTGGAGCTCAGAAATCAAGCTGGTAGATTGTCAGTACACGTAGATTTTCACTGAAACAAACGACAGTGTATTATGATGGACAAAAATTAACACCTGCTTTCTGACACTTATTCCTTTGGGAATTGGATACATAGGGAGAAAGGTCACAGTGGCCATGCAATCAGTGGTACTCTGTCTTCCTATTGCTGTGTTGGGGGCTTTTCCAAACCATTCAATATGTAGATTTATCTAATAATTCTCTGTGTTGATATTCAAATTTCCCCACAGATAGAAGTCCCGATGAAGACCTTTCCCCCAAGCTCACAGTTTTTCTTCCTTCAAATGCTGAAATAAATCTCCACAGGGCTGGGACATATCTTTGTCTTCTGGAGAAATTTTTCCCTGATGTTATTAAGATATATTGGAAAGAAAAGGATGGGAATACGATTCTGGCAGCCCAGCAGGGAGACACGATGAAAATTAAAGACACCTACATGAAGTTCAGCTGGCTAACAGTGACTGGAGATTCAATGGATAAAGAGCACAGATGTATCGTCAGGCATGAGAATAATAAAGGAGGAGTTGATCAAGAGATTCTCTTTCCTCCAGTAAATGAAGGTATGTTTACATAAATAAAACAGAATATTTATTTAAAAGGAAATACTCCACTTTTCTTTGTCTATCAAGTACTAGTGAAAAACAAATGTAAATCTTTCATAAATCTTATTACAGTTAAGAGTAGCATAAATGTCCTGTTGTTTTACTCACAGAAAGGAAATGGGAGAAGCTTTGGAGGAAACAAAATTTTACATAAGCTTTCTCAGCCTCCATTTCAACATCTAGAATAGTAAGATCACTGATACTTTTAATAACTGTCATATGGATTATATGACACAACATATGTGAAAGGACCTAGCAGTATAGGCCTTGCTAGACATGGAACAGAAGATTTTCATTTTGGATGACTTTAGTTGCCTTAGAAATAAGAATTTTGTGCCTTTTAGGAATCTTCTACCAAGCAAGCACTACAATCTTGCTATGCACAGAGTTTAATCTATAAACACTCAGTTCTTTTTTGACAAAATGGCATTTAAGAGTGTGAATGCAGCTCAGAATATAGAATAATCATGGCTGCTGGAGTTTTATGGTGGCGTCCATTTTTCTGATTTTTTAAATTACTGATTGACAAAATTTGATTTTTTAAGCTTGGGTGAGGCTAATGTGTATGAACCTTTTCCCCTTCTCCATGACGGATGTACTTCTTGCCCTTAGTAAATGCAGAAGCACAAACATTTACTGTACTACCAGTTTAAGCCAGGCCCAAATGGGAATGGGAGAGGAGTCAGTGCCCCCAGGTAGATGTGCTGCAGTGAAGACAGAATGATTTTTTCCTAATCACTCGAGTATATTATTGACATATAGTTAAGTTCCAACATTTAATGAATGAGTTGTGCTGCTATAAACATGCATAGGCATGTATCACTATAGTATGACATCTTTAACTCTTTCAGGAAGTCACTTAGTAGGGGAATAGCTAGGTCAGATGGAATGTCTAGTTTTAGTTTCTTTAGGAATCTCCATACTAATTTCCATAATGGTCCTCCTAGTGTACGATCCCACCAACAATGTAGAAGAAGTCCCTTTTTCCCCACAGCCTCACTTTGTTATTTGATTTCTTGATGATAACCATTCTTTTCTGGAATCTTAATATTTTAATTTGCATTTCTCTGATAGGCAGAGATGTTGAACATTTTTTTCATTTTACCATTTTACTGGTAAATATGTACTAATAAGAGATTAAAATTTAAAAAAAGATTCAGACTGATGTCCAAAAGGAATCCTAAAGAAAAAAGGAAGCAATATGAAAGTACAAGTTTAACATAAAGAATGTATTTTTCAGTTATGATTTTTCTGGTGACAGAGAAAACTAAAAAGAATACTGAATTCCACAGTAATGAATATTATGTAGGAGAGATGATGTAGTTTAATAAGGTTTTGACACTAAGTGACTTTCATGGGCTTCACTCCCCCACCTTTTTTTTTTTGGACTGGGACCAAACTCAGGACCTTGTACTTGTGAGGCAGACGTGGCACCACTGAGCTAAATCCCTGGCTTTCATGGCCTTCTCTTGACAACAAAGATAAATAAGGCACTTCCATTAATGTAATCCCACATGAGTTTCTAATGCAGCTTCCTGTATGTTGCTGTTTTGCTTTGCTTTTGATAAAATCTAAAAGATAACACATGGGACTACAGTTGAATCAACTGACTTGAAGGGAATCAAAACTAACCTGAGAACTTCAACATCTTCCACAATATATGGAATAGCTATAGAATTACATAGAGTGAGACCAGTTATTTTTGGAATAGCAGAGATTATATTTTTAATGAATGCTTCTCTGGTCCTTCTGCTGACAGTATTTATATATTGTATATGTTGATACACACAGTTCTAGAAGTTCTCTTGTGAGTGTCTCTGCCAGGTATGATTTAAAAACAATATGATGAACGGTGCTTTTGAGCGCTGCCTGACAAAAAGGCAACTTCCTTAAAACATGTCGGTGTGTCTTCATCCACCTAATTCACCAGATCTGGCACCTGTGACATCTAGTTTTTCCCCAAAGTCAAAATAACCATGAAAGGGAAACATTTTGAAATGATTTGGGGCATCAAAGCAGCTATGACAGTGTGACCAAAGGCACTCAGGAAAGAGGACTCTGGAGCTGCTTCAGATAGTGGCCAGAATGATGGGATGAGCGTGTTCAAAGGGGGAATGGTTTGAGAAGGATTCATGGCAATATGTCTTAATGTAATAATTATTTTAATTTAAATATTCACCCTATCTTTGGATCACACCTGATGAAGATCAGAAAGAAGACTTCTAGAACTGGTTCAGAATGTGGCAAGGATGGGATCAATGTATTCAGAGCAAGGGGAGATATTTTGAGGGGGATTAATAGCAATGTCTTTTACTGTGCTGAATTTTTTTTTTTTTTTTTTTTTGGCACCGGGGATTGACCCCGGGTCCTTGCACTTGCAAGGCAGGCCACCGAACCGCTGAGCTAAATCCCCGGCCTTACTGTGCTGAATTTTTAAAATGTCAATACTCGTATTTTTCAATCACGTCTCATATGTATGTACACATGTACACATATTGTCAAATATCAGGCATGAATACTTGACCCTATTTGGTCTGCTTTCTTTTAGTCACCATTGTTACTCCCAGAGAACCTGATTTGAAAAATGGTAAGTTCAGTGTATTGGCTTTATCTCATGATACAGCTTTTTACATCTTCCTCGCCATCTCAACTTTTGGGCTTCCCTGAATTAATGAAGAAAAATCAGAATGACTGGATGTTCCAAAGCAGACTGAGTGACATTTTAAATTAATCCATATTTTCCTCGGCATCATATTAACACAGTAAGATACTAATATTGGGATGAGAATCATGCAAATGAGGGGCTACAGTGATATGTTCTGAACTATTTCAACGAAGGGACTTCATTCTTGTGTTTATTATTTCTACTTCCTGCGAAAAAGAGTATCAAGTTATTTTAGCTTTGTCTTTTAATTGTACATAAATATATCTCTCATCATGAGTTTTATTTAGCAAGCCTAAAATGTGACTTGGCTTATCCATTTCCTGAAAAATGGCACTGTCACTGAAATGCACAGCCACTAGAATAAAAAGAGGCCATGGGCTAAAAAAAACAAAAATACTAGGAGATTTTTAGTCTACAGTGGTGGAATTATGTTCCATCTTTTAATTACTTACATTATCCTTTGAACAGTAGATTTAAAATTCCAGGGGTTTGATTTACCTTAACCTTTTTTCTCCTCTGTAACATGAAACCATCCAGAACACAACTCTGTCAAGTGTTTTTGAGGTGTTAAACAAGATGATCTGAAAGATAATACAGTGCATTGGCCCAGCAATGTGCACTCAGCTGGCCCTAGTGTCTATTCATATGGACTATCTAGCCTGGGTTTGGCAAAAGATTTTACACACACACACACACACACACACACACACACACACCCCCCAAGCACAGTGCCAAATAATAGGCAGGAATAATTGACAAGTATCTGTTCTCCTATCTTCTAGTTATCAGTACTACTGAACCTGAAGCTTGCTTGAAAGATGAAAATGGTAAGTTTTATTGTCTATTCTCTTTTATGGCATGCTTCAGTAGTTTTTTTTCCTTTTAATCATCTTAACTTGAATTGTCATAGCTTAAGTGAGAAAAATTACAATGGCTAGAGGCTTCAGGATAGACTGAGTGATACTTTACAATCATGTATCACTTCATAGGCATCATATTAACACTGTAAATTATAAATTTGGGCATGAAATCACTTACATTGCACAATATGACATGGTATCAGAGGATACAATACTCTGAACTATTTCAACAAAAGGACTTTTATCATATATCTCTTCCTTCTAATAACTGTGAAAAGCATAATATCAAGCTAATTCTAGATTCTTTTAAATTGCTAGTGATGTGACTTGGCAGTATTTACCAAGTGTTTTTATACATACGAACTTGGGCTGTCCTCTGTATGGATTTCCTTGGTTAATCCTCATAATGTTCCTGTCTCATGGTACGACAGTTTCCACCCCACGTTACAGATGAAGACAATGAGCTAAAACTAAGTCCTTTTCACATGCCACACAGCTGGACCTGACGTTTCAACTCAGGCCCTTAAGTGAATAGTTCATATCCTTCCTTACCCATCCTTTGTTGTTTCTCTATATTGGAGTCATAGGGCAAGAAACTCCAAGACCAAGGCCTTGAGACAGGATGGACATGTGGCAGGGAGGGAAGTGCATGGGCTTCTGGCGTCACAGATGGGTTTCAGCCCAGGTCTCTTAATGGTCAGCTGTAGGAACATGGGGGAGTGACATCATTCATGATAAATGCTTTGCTCTGGTGCCAGTTGGGAATTATACCAAACACTCAGCTATCAAAGAAAGAAGGACCCACATAAGAAACATCTAGCACAGGACATGTATTAAGCAAGCTCAGGATAACTACTAGTTTCTGGCCCTTCCTTCTTACATATGCCAAGAGAATGTAACTGGAAGAACTGGCTTCTCCCTGCGAACCTTTCCTCTAATTCTAGTGACCAAGGAGCTCTGGACCTCAGCTGCCACACAAGACAATGAGAAAGGGGCTAATTGTTGCCTGACCAAAGGGAGGGAGTTAGGAACACATTTATTGAGAACCCTTTCTATACCAAGGGCTCATGACTACGGTTCTGATTCTATGAAGATGGATGACATACAGTGAAAATTTCCCCATGGAGAGACTTGACCTTGTAACTCAAGTAGCCACTGTGGCCCCACTGTCATTGTCTTTGATTTCTGACATCATATATTTCTTGTAAATTTTCAAAGGTTATCAACTGCCATTACCCAGTAATTTCAAATCCCCGTGAGAGCCCTGCAGAAATGACAAAGGAGCATACCACAACCACCGAGCATCTTAGTGTTTGGATCAATCCTTTTCTCCTATTTTCTATAATGCCCTCTTCTATAATCTCCTACCCATCCTGCTGAGAACACCATGGAATTCCCATGGATAGTACCCTGCTACAGATCTCACTGCATGCATCCCCAATGTGTAACGGCTCACGTTTCTAAGTCACCAATTCAACTTTCACTTAGGCTTACAATTTTGCTGTCTTGTTTTACTACTGTACTTAGAGTTAGAGAATCACGGAATAGGTAAGAATAAGATCTTCAGCAGCATATTGCTGGGTTAAATTATGGGGCTGTCAGTTACTAAGTGCATGACATTAAGCAAATTTCTTCTTACTGTGCTCTCAGTCTCTTCAACATGGGAATAAAAACAATCTCTCTCTCCCATAGGTGGTTATATAGATTAAATAAGACTTAAATATTTACATCAAAGTTCTCAATATACTATTTTGGCATTTGGTTAGTGGCTAATGAACTTATCTCTAATTACTGCTTATAGATTATTAAGGCCAAAATAACCCTCCAACTTAGTTTTCATAAAAGCTTTGTCCTCACATTGAACTCCATTAAAACTGAAGCCTTAATGTGTTAATATTACAAAAAGTGTCATGTGAATTTAGCTTAGGTTGTTAATCAAGTTGAGCTGCAAACTAAATCTTGCCCTCGGTGGTCTTGGGGAAAGTGGAGATGCCGATCTTTGGTTTTGGGTGTGTGGGTGGTGTCACCTAGTGCAGCTCATCACCTTCCAATGCTGTGTCCTGTGCTGTCACACATGCAGCTGAAAACTCATGTCCTGATTTCTCTTAGGTTTGCTGCACCTGCAGTTCACCAGCACCTCTGCCTACTACACCTACCTCCTGCTGCTGCTCAAGAGCGCCCTTCATGGGGCCCTTGTCATCTACTGTCTGTGCAGGAGGTCCTCTGTCTGCTGCAATGCAAAGAGCACCTGACAGATGGAAGCATGTGGGACCACAGTGTCTCCAACATTTCTTGTCCCCAGCAGCATCTGTTGAGGGTTTTCTGGGCTTGGTGGGCTCAGCTCCTGAAGGCCACATGCACATTATCTGTCATTATTGCATAAGGGTTTCCCAACCAGTAGGCAAATTGTGTAACTTCCTGTCACAAAAAGGCGCAGGCCATGGCACCCCAAGCCCCATTGCATGGCTCTCACAGCCAGCCAGGTCCCCACAGACTCGATGTGTCAGGACCTCAGTGCTTATGGACTGGGTCATCACCTGGAAGCCTCCACTCTCCCCATTCTGACATGGCCTTCTATGCTACTGAACTCTGTGCTTTGTTGTTTACAGTAGACACAATAAATAAAAAATATCCAAAGTCTTCTTTGGCCCGTGCACATTTTAATTTGATGAAATGGAACTGAGTCAGTCCAAGGTGAGAAACAGCATGACAAATGAGCAACACCACATTTCTAATTCTTACAGTGGCTCCAAAGAGCCAGAGCAACTTGAAGATACCCATGTTACTGCTCTTTTAAAGATCAACATAATCAGGTACAATTAGTACGAGGCCCTCCATGGCAGTAGGAAAATGTCTAATGCAAATGGTACTGTGTGTGCTCAGCGGAATAGCAGCATTTCATAGCATCATGTTTCCTGATCCTCACAATGTTCTCATGAGCTCTGCATTAATCCTCTAGGCTGGACAGTGTGATGGAGGGGTTGAGCAAATGGCTTCTGGTCATAGAGGGTCTGGGCTTCAATACTGGATCTAGAATATCTGGGTGATATCATACTTGAAATCTCTGCTGTGATTTCTTCCTGTGAGATTAAGTTAGTATGCCGTGACTCCTGGAGTTGGGAGATCAGATTAGTTAATTATGCATAGTCTACAGACAGGTCCTTAAAAGCATGAGTATGTGCTCCATGCTACTGTAGAGATACAGTGGATCCCACAATGACATACATGCAGAAACACCAACAATGCTCTCTATTCTTACTTCTGTGCAGAGAGGATGGGTGGGAGGGAATAGGGACTTAGCAATCTATGATCCTCCAAGAGGATCACTTTTCTAAGATAACCAGGTATCAGAGACCCAGTGTTAAACACAGAAAATCTCCAATATTAAGAATAGCCAATATTAAACACAGAGCAAATCCCAATAATGAATAAGACTAATAATACGCAACAAGTAAGCTATACTGTTAAATACAGGCAATGTTAAATAAGGAGTTAAGTCCTAGAGTCCACATGATTCCAGGTGGTCTAGCATAAGGCTTGCTGCTTAATCCATTCTACCAGTGGCTCCCAGTCTCCTTCTGGGAGCCTAGAGAGTCCCAGAGGCATGGACCTTATCACAGGCCTGCTCATGACTGAAAGAGCTCTTGACCTCCAGCACAGGTGTCTCAGTTGGCAAGTCATCAAGAGGCATCAGACAGGGTACACTACCCAGGTATGGGACACGCTCCACCTGGACAGGGCTCTCAAGAGTCTAAGCCATCAGCTCACCAGGAAGCAGGCTGCATGTTTTAAAATGTACATGTGAAGATATTCATGCACTGCAGTGTCACACACAACAGCCACAAATTCAACCAAAGGTCCGAGGAGAGAATAAAAGATGTCACAAAATCAATTATGTAGCTTCCAAAAAAACTGGAAAATATTATAAAGTCAGGACATGGTGTTGAAACATAATTTGCACCGCATAATTTAAATTGTTAGATGATACAACTACATGGATAAAAAAATTTTCAATTCTGTAAATATGGATGTACATATACTTTTATATATGCCCATTTCACTTTCTTGCTGAAAGGTAGCATGTACTATTCATTTTGCATACCTGTCTTCATTTATAAATCCTACAGCTTTTATATGTCTGTACATTTAAGCAGCCACAAGGTATTTCACTGAATAAAAAATAATGGTATTTCATAGGTCCCTGTAGCAGGCCTGATCTTTAATATTTTTCTTATACTGAAAAAATGTATATAATTTTAAACATGGCATTGGTTAATGGGAATGCCAACTTGCTCTCTGTATAGTCCTATTTTGCTCTTTCACCACCCAAGAATGGGCTGATCTGAAATGGGTTGAACATGCTGATCTGACAGGCAAAGATAGTATCTCATTATAGTTTTAACTTTTTTCTCATATGGAGTGAATTTTGATATATTGATCTATTTATCTTTGCAGCATTCATTCATATCCTTTGACTATTTTTTTCCCTAATTCACACATTTCCTGTGTCTCTGCTGATCAAGATAGGAAACAAATATTCAATATACCATAGGTGGGTAAAGAAAATTTCAAGTGTATTTTCCTTCAATGAAGGCTAATAAAGTTAAAAGGTTTTATATATACTACAGTACTGAGTTAAAACAGACACGGTTTTGTTTTTCAATCAGTTTCAGTGAAATTGATTTTGTTAGAAATCAAATCGAAGTTTCCATTTAGGAACAAATAACCAAACTGAATGGACATCAAATGTTATCAAGATCCACTCCTTGGTTCTTTTGAACTGATCAGACCTCTTTAGACCTTAGAGACTGGAGCTATTTCTGCACTGCAAATGCACAGGCCCCAGACTGGAAATGGTCACATCTCCCAGAACTTTGAGAGGCTGATATCATAGGCAGAGCCTGGGCAGCGTCCCCTGGGGTTCAAAACTCAGTACTAGTAATGACTTGTGTTCAAATTTCCCTCAAAGCCTCAGGTGGTCATAGGTGGGGCTTTTTCAGTTGTGGCTGAATCTAGTGTGTGACTTTGGGATTGACTCATGGTGCAACACTAGGATTGAGGGAACTAAGATCACGGGTGTAAGTGCTGCCTACCCTAAGTAGCCTGGATAAGACATAAGGGATTGAAAGAGCTGTGGTCTTCCTTGTGGCTTTGCTACCTTCTATCAGTCATGGACTGTTTCTTCTCTTTTATACCTGTTTGCCATGCCACCCTGCCATGGAGCCAGCTGATGATGGACTGAAACTTCTACAAGCTGTGAGCTAAATAAACCTTTCTTTAGGTTTGGGTGTTGGGTATTTTGTTTCAGCAACAACAACAACAAAAAATAACTAAGGTAGCCACTTCCTTCTCCATCCCCCTGGGCTGCCCTGAACTTCAGCAGCACAGAGCAGAGCCCTGGGGAGGAAGGGACACAGTGGGTGACAGGCAGCACTGGTGTGGCTGATGGGGTTTTGAGTTCTCAGGTTTGTTCTGTTTCCGTGCTGTCAAATGTGGTTGATTCTTGGAAAAGGCTCAAAGTCAAACCGGCCCCTACTGGTTGGGGCAGTGCAAGGGGTGGTGAGGGTGTTAGAAGGGAAACTGAGAGCAGTTAAACCACAGCCAACTTGGCTCACTTTCAAAAGGCCACAACTAATAAATGCAAAGAAAATATCCATTTTCACACGTCTGATTGCCACCAACCTTCCTCTCTGGGCTGTGGGTGCCTGGGCACCCTTCATGGGATACAGGAAATGCATTAGCTGCTGTGAGAGTTGGGAGCCTTGCGGCCAGGACTGTGTGGACACTGCTCCTTCTGTCACTGCCCTGACCCTGCGCTGGAGGAAGGAGCAGTCTGCAGCCCAAGATTATCTAAAACATTCTACAAAATGTCTGTGCATTTCCAAGGATTAGATTTACAAATGCTAATACTTTGTGTTTTAATTTTCTCAGTATAGACACAGTGGCACATGACCTGTGTCCATTACGATAGGTGGACATACAAGAGGCCAACAGCAATGTGTTCTAGAAGCCTAGACATATAGAAGCCCTGAGTTTTAATGTGTAACTGAAAGTCATACAATGAATAGCCTGAGGTCCCTCTACAGGGATAAAAGGATATGAATCAACTTGAGCAAAGCTTAATAGAGGACAGAAACATCAGGAAAATGCAAGACTAGGATCAGTTAGATGAGGCTTGTTCACCAATGTAAGCATAAAAAGCTACTGCCCCACACATAAGCTGTCTGGGCTGGTACAGTAAGAGACCAGGACCTTGGGCTAAAACTATCCACCATCAGGGGAGGCATAACTAGCACAGAGATAAGCACTTTTTAAGGGTTTACAGTCTGACTTCATGGCACATTCAAATCATACACTTCTTTCTCCTCCGTCTGTACTCAGAGAGCCAACTTCACAGCCAGCCTTGGATTCTTCCTAAGAGGACTGACCACATCCTACTGCCTCAACCCACCATGTGTAGGGAGTGCCCTACAGGAGTTAAACTGATACCCTGGCTTCAAGTTTAGGTTTCATCTGTGCATTTGGTGTGTACCAACGCCTTTCCTGAGGCAGGAAACTGTCTTGAGGTGATGCTACTGAGGCCCTGAGGCCTTAGCCCCAATCCAGACCCCATAGAGTTTCCTCAGCAGCTCTTCCTGGGCAGACCCCAGCCTCCCTGACCTTCCCAACCCTGCTGCTGAGGCCTGGCCACTCTCAGGACAAGCACAGTTGGGGACAGGATCTGTACAAAGGCTCAGTCTCCACCCACACTAGCAGCATCAAGATGTTCTAAAATAAGTTATACTTGAATAACGTGATGAGTAGAAATGGAAAACTAATAGCCTACTGCTCCCGTGAGTGTAGTAAGGTGAATATTTATGTATGAAAAAATAGCTCCTGATATTATTCAATTTATTTTAATTCAAACTAGCTAAACAATATGGAGAATTGATAGCAAGAGTTTCATAGTCCGTTACTGGATTCCAAATAAAAGTATACAGACTATTTTAAAATTCTACTTTAGAGAAAGAGATGAATTCATGATATGAATAAAAAAGTATGAATACATTCCATATCTTAACCGGTCCTCCTACCCCCTCATAATTCCAACAGTATAGACCAAACACCAAATATCAGTAAAGGAAAACACAGCCAGTCACTTTGATATGTTGGAATTTATTTTTTTAATTGTACAAAGAGTACATGTGCATGAGTTAAAAAACACAAAGGAAATGGAGGGTGTTAAAAAAGAAATACAAAAGAAATCTGAGATACACAACCAAAAAACTCCACTCTGTGAATTGAAATAAAAAGCTATTTCACTGACTACAAAAGTGTTATTTCAATATATTACCAAGTCTTTTGATTCTGATACAGCACGAGACTTTCCTACAATTATTCTTTAACAGGTCTGACTCGGTCTCACTGGACAGAGGAAGATTATAACATGACCAGAGGGCCACAGGCAGGCGACTGAGCTGTGTGCATATGGGACAATGTCCATGAGGTATCACCATAAATAAATCCTTCATTAGCTGTTCCACAAAGTCACCATTTCAACTTTCAAGAAGGAGACCCGTCTCCATCTTTTCTCTCAGATGACTTTCAGTAAGGGCTCTTCCCACTTAGAAAAGGAGTGAAGACAAAACATTGAGAGGCAAAGTCACACTGCCTTACATTTATATGAAAACCTCTATACTGAAGATGGACTGTAACACAGTAGACACATAAAGGACACTGGTGTGGCCACACGATTTTATTTTGAAGCATTTTAGAAAATATTCAACTATCCAGGTATTACATTTTTCTTCCTGTTTACACCACTGCTGTGGAAAGAAGGTGCCAAGGCATGTTGGCGTCACCCGTGTGGACAGAGCTTATGAGTCATGACCGCAGCTAGGAAGGCTTCTGTCCCGGCTTTCCTGGGCCTCATATTCCATCCACTAGCTTTCCTGTCTGTGGTGAAATAACTGAGCAGAGCTGCTGCTACTCTGATGTCTTGGTGCCTATTTTCTCAGTATTTGTGAGACTGAAATGATTTGCTTTGATGGTTTGAGGATTTAACACCATTCCACCTTAGCGCTTCCGATGGCGCTCAGAAGCTCCAAACAGATAGGGAGTACCCGGGGAGGCCTGCAGTGCTCCTGGTGCCACAGTGGGTGAATTTGAGTCCGGCTCCCCACACCGACTGTGTTACTCACACCATCTCAGCTGCCTCCACGGGACACAGAGATAATAGCAAGCCCTACATCTCACAGGACTGCTGTCCCCACAACACCAACAGGTTAATATTTCAAACTGAAATAGTGTCTGGCCACAGCATTCTGACTAAGTTAACAAAATATATTTCTCCTTACTCTTTTCAGATTTGGGACTCAGGTACTTTTCAAATACTACTGATGTTATTTTTCGGTAGAAAAACTTAAGAAATTTGACATTAATAAAAGGCAGTTACTGAATTTATGTCATTATGACACATCTGGTTAGCTCCTTATACTCATATGCTTTGAAGTTTACTGTCAATCTGCTCAGAGAAAATGCTCCTTTTCTAACCATGTGGTTGATGGTTTCATTTTCACTTACTTTTACGAAGCAGAGAAGTCAGAGATCTAAAGGTGCTTTCTCACTGTCCTGTTTTTCCTCAGCTTCTTCTTCAGATCCTGGGTGGTGGGGAAGAAAAAGGAAAAGGTCTCATTCCATTGCTGTTACAGCCACTGAATTATAATATACACAAGTGTAATTTTAAATAAAAGCACATCTGTTTAATCCTCAAGAGTTTAAGTTAACAAGCCACCTTCTTAATATATTATTTATTTCTTATGGGAGGAAAACTTTTTAACATACTATCATTTATACTAACTTGGTAAAATGGATTTCACTTACATATTACTAAAAATATTCATTTAACATGAATTAGTATTTTTGTTCTTCTTCTGCTTCTTTGCTGACTCATGCTTGTATTTTTAAGTCCAAATGAGCTTTCGCACAACAGATTTAATCACTGCATTGCGAGTAGGGACAGCAGAGCCAGATGTTCTGGCTGAGGCCAGTGACCTCCAAGCAGCCATTCTCCGTCTGGGCGTCAGGAACCCCATGTCACTAATGTACACTTGACCAGGTCATCCCAGAATCATCCTTCTCTGGAAATCTTTCCTTACAACCTATCCCTGAGAAAATAATACTTTTTGTTTATTATACGTATCTTTCTTAGTAACAATTGGAAAACAGAATGCATATGACTGCCTGGGAAGGTAAGAAAGGCTAAATAAGTACACTGCCATGAAATATCTTACATCCTTGTAAAATTAGGGTCACACGTAGCATACCACAACAAGGAAAATGCAGTTGCACTAAAGCCAGGTAAATACGTAATAAATAAATAAATAAAACTTTGCATATGGTAAGATTATACATGACAAGATTAAGAAAGCAAACGTGCAACTGAGCGTGGGAGATAACCACATGACTTTTACTTATTTTTGTGGATATTACAAAATGTTTGGAATAAACTTATGGTGACGCCATAATTTTTAAATTCTAGTTTTAAAAGGAGAGTATAAGTAATACAGACAGTAAAGTCAAAGTGGTATACAATGACACATACAAAAGAAAACAAGCTAAACTGTTAATGCCAATATTGATAAATACTTTTGAAGGAAGGGTGAGTTCATTTTGCTTCTTCCACTTTTATAAAAGCACATATCACTTTCCAAATCAGCACAAGGCAAGAAGAGAAAAGGGAGGCGTGAGGATGAAATCAGTTCATGCCTTAAGGAACAGCCAGCCTCCACTGCTGCTTCCACCTGCCTGCTGCGGCCTGGAACTGCTTTCTCCTAAGAACAACCACAGGGTCTAAGTCAAGAGCAAATGAGGACAGGAGAAAGACCAGTCAGAGTTTAAGGTTGTGTCCCACATATCAATCTCATAAATGTGCCAGCTGAAGGGGAACTGGGCTAAAATAAAGACAAAGGTACAATGGTTGGGAGGCTTTGTTTTCCAGCCACTGAACTGACTTGAACAATGAAAATGTAGGGTAGTTTAGCTGTTCTCAGCATTCAAAAGGGTATCAGGACGATGATCAGGCCAAATCTTCCTTTCATGGGCTCACTTAAGACCTGTGGGGCCAAAACATTAAACTGCAACGAGAGATGTCTTGGGATTTCCTGGGGATCCCAAATGAAGCTATACCTTGAATTAAAACACAGCTATTATCTAAGTATTTTTAAAGGACCTGTGGCTGTGGTCTAGCAAGGTGGTCGACATAACATCTCCATGAGATGACCTTTAAAAAGTTGGCACAGTGGACAAAGCTAAGCATTTCAATCCTCTGGAATGACCAAATGCATATAATAATCAGAGCCATGTCTATGTTTGAAAAAACTGCAAAATTTAGAAAACAACAGGGCTACTCCTGCCTGAGCTGCTCCTCTTCCTTCCCCAGCACCCAACACCCAGCTTACAGTGAAGGAGACTATGGTGAGGTGCAGCAGCAGAGGTACCAGCTGAAGGAAGCCACACTCTTAGGCAGCTGCTTGCTGGCCTGTGGTATTCAGGGCTACAGCAAGCAAAGGCCTGGCTGGAGCCATTCTCCTGTGCAGGGAGAGAGACCCAAGAGAGCTCAAGCTATGGTAACAGCCTGAGCTGAAAGCAGACACAGAGATCACAGGAAAGGTCTCAGCAGAAAGGAGAAGCTGCGGAAGACTGGAAAATAACCTAACCCTGAAGGTGTCAACCAACCCAGGTACATGACCTTTGGCAGAGAACAGAAACCTTAACCTAGGGTTTGCGTGTGGCCTCTGTGCAGGCTTGGGCTACCCCTAAGTTCTAGAAGAGTTAGGCTTAAAAGGGAAAAACATAACAAACAACAAGAAGAAAGAAGTAGCCATATTAGCCGGGGAATATGATTTCATTTATTAAACAATTTATTAAACCAACAAATAGCATCCTCTTAAAATATCATAAATGAGAGTTGCTATAATATACTTTTCAACAAAATACTTTCTAACGAAAATCTAAGACCTCTGTGAAATCAAAAAACTGTGATCATTCTAAGGGTGAAAAAAAAAATCAAACCATCTCTGAGTGCCTCCAAATATTGTATTTACCAAGGAATAACATCAAAGCAGCTGTTATAAATGTATTTAAAGAACTACAGAGACTCTATTTTAAAGAGTAAAGAAATGCATGACACAAATAAATACAAATACAGAGATTCAAAAGAAGGAAAAAAATTACTACAGCAAACCAACATTTTAGAAAAGAAAATCTGGAGTGAAAAAGCATGAGAATACTAAAATATCTGAAAGAAAAAGTCAAGACAACATTGAAGAAGGCAGAAGAACCTGTACTGGAATAGAGACTGATAGAAGTAATGCAGCCTGACACACAGAGGAAAAAAAGGCTGAAGGTGACATGAACAGAATTCAGAGAGCTATGAGCCAACCCAAGAGGACCGATATACACGTATGGGGAGTCATGGAAGGAAAAAAAAATAGCTAAAGAACTAATAGCCAAAATTTCCCAAATCTTTGAATTTTTGAGACATATTAACCTATACAATGCATGTTAAAAGAACAAGAAATTAAATATATACAAAGTATCCTCAACTCTATCATCGTGGAGCTGCTGTAAACCAAGAACAAATGAAAATGAAACTTCAGCATACCAAAACTGTCATTAAAAGAAAGTCTACAGGAAAAACAGTATCTTTTGATAACTGTATCAGAAAAAGAGAAGGCTTCAAATCAACTATATAAAAAAAAATCTACTTTTTAAAAGTAGAGTCAGCAAAATCCAATTAACAGTAAATCAAGAAAATAATAAAATTAAAAACAGGCCCATTCATGGCCAACTGATTTTTGACTAATGTGCCAACTCAGCCTAGTAAGGGAGCACTGTCTTTCAACTATAGCTGCTAAGACAACAGATAATTAAAAGCAAGAGAATGAGTTTAGTTCCTATCTTGCCAACATGTGAAAATTAATTCAATATACACCATGAACTTAAATAATGAAAGAAAAACTATAAAACCTTGTAGACAAAAACACAGGAGAAAATTTTAATAATACACAGTTTAGATATGAACCCATACACAAGCTATAAAAGAAAAGTTCATAAACTGGACTTAATCAACATTTAAAACCCATGTTTCAAAAGACCATATAAAGAAATGAAGATAAACTACAGATTGGGGTAAGGATCTGCAAATCACATATCTGAAAAAGCTGCTTTATCTTCAGTGTATACAGAATTCATATAACTCACTAGGAAAACAAGACAACAAATTAGGAGGATCTTCAAGCACACTTTTCTCCAAATAAGATTTATGAGTCACATATAAAGGTAATGTGAAAGAGATGCCACTGTCAAGTTAAAACAGTGAGACGTACTGTTAGAGGAGCTATAATAAATAAGAGTAACATGTGTCAGGAGGACACCAAGAAACCGAAACCTACTAGAGGGAATGTAAGAGTCCAGTCATTGTTTGAGGAACAGGTTAGCAGTTTTTATAAAGTTAAAGAGAAACATCATAAGACATAGAAAACTACTCTTAGAAATCCACCCAAGGAAAAAAAAATATATCCACACAAATACATGCCAGTGCTCATAGGCAAGGTTATTTATAATACTCCCAAACTGGAACTAATTCAAATGCTCAACAACTGGTAAATAATATAAGTTCATACCATAGCAAAAGTATCCAAATATAAAAAGGAACAAACTACTGATTTGTACTACACATCAAACTTCATGCTAAGCAAAAGAAATTGAATACAAGAATTACAAAATGTCCAAAAAACATAAATTTGTAAAGACAGAAGCCAATAACTCAATAGAGTTATTTTACAAACAGTTGTTATTACTAACTCTGGTAATCAGTAACTACTTCTTAACCACAAAGTGAAAAAATCTGTTTTAAATCTTCTACTTTGAAAGGGTGATCACATGATTATTCATTTAATCAAAAACTCTTAAGAGATAAGAAACAGTTAAGAGATAAAATGGTTCTTTTATTCTAGACAGGAATAAAGCAAGCTTGCCACAGGCAGACCAGCAGGTTTTTATAAAGACTGGACACTAAAGACTTTACCCAGACTTGCTAAGAACAGATGCTATTCTGCAGCTGAGCTCTTTCTTGGTGTGAGCCAGTCTCCCTGAGGTACGAGGTGAGGAACTGCCCTGTCCTCAGCTCACACTGGGTTCCCCACAGCTCTCTGACCACACGCACCGGTGTCACTCCGGTCATCTGAAAGGACTGTGCTTCTTCCTGCTGCCCATTTCCTCCACAGACTTACAGGGCACCAGAGATCAAGCAGCAGCCTGCAAACAAGTACCTTTGTAGCCTTTACGACACGTACTGTACACCTACTAAAATGTGCTCCTTTCCTAATTTCTCAGATACAACACAGAGAAAAGGCCAGTATTTTTATTTATGATGCCTCCCACTTTTCCTCTCTTCTTTTCATCCACTCCTTCGGCAGTTTTACATCCACTGTGTGCCAGTGGGAAAACAAAGGGAGAAAGGAAGATGTCCTTGTGTCCACGTGCTCAGGCAGGGCAGGGCCAGGGCAACAGCAGCTCCTAAGTCTGGCAGCCAAAGACTGACATCTAGCTGCTTTGCGTGATGAGAAATGTATGCTCTGGAGGAGGACTCCTCCGGCCTAGACGGCAAAAATTTTCAATTTTCATTCTTGTTGAAACTGAACATCAGATATGCAAACATAATGTAACAGAGCAGCCCTTGACCAGTCCTTCTCTGCCCACCACTACCAATCTGCATTGGTCTTGGGCAAAGCAGCCACCCAGTGGACCACTGGGAAAGTGTCTTGTTCCTGCTTAGCTCGCACCCGAATGAGATGGCGATGCCCCAGAGGACCACTAGGTGGTAGCAAACATCACAGACAGAAGCCAAGGGATCAGGATGGAGAAAGCTGGATAGGAATGGATTGCTTTGGGTGCAGTTCCTCCTTTTATCATTAACCTGCTGATCTGAGCTTCTAATAAGAATACTGATAATTACTGAGAAACTTTATTATTCACAGAAAAAAAAGTAAAAAGTTGGATTAATCTTAGAAAAAAAGTACAAAGTATTACATTTTAATAAAATAAGAGTTAATGAAAAGGTTAGTGAATCACCCAATTTCTACTGTCTGAGAAACAGATTTTCTGGAAATCCACACTTGTACTCCACGTGGCCTATGGTTTTACATTTTAGATCTCACACTAACATCCAAGATATAAGTTTCTTCAAACTTCTCTAACATACTGATTTTTCACAGTGCTGTGCCTTCCATCATTCACAGGGCTCTTTCTGCCTCGATTCTGTTTTATGTTGGGGCGTGTGTGTTTAAAATACTCCCTAGGTCTAATCATAGGAATATAGTGACCGCAGTCTCTAACCCTAGGTGACTTCCCAGTGGTCGAAACAGACCAGGTCACTGCTGAGGGCAGTGCAGGCAGCACAGGAAGCAGGGCCATGGAAGAGGCCCCCAAGACCATGCAAGGACAGCCCAGCCAAGACTGCCATGAGGGGCGGGTGAGCAGGCAAGGGTGGGGAGAAGCCTTTGGAACATGGCACTGGAGACCTGATGTTCAGAATAGAAATAGCCAAGTACAAACTGGTTGAAGGCTTTGGAGCACAGCATTTTCAGAAAAACTAGGAACACAACAGAAAAGAGCAGCCAGGAGTAGGTGAGCAACTGGGGAAGAGAGGTCAGAGAGGCAGCTTCTGCCAGGCTGAGGGTCTGTTATTTCTGAGTCCTTTGTGCCACGGTAGGCTTGGGTGGTGGAATGACACAATCAACTCCGCATTTTCATAAATACTAACAAGGGGTGCCAGACTACAGCAGCTGTGATCAGGGCTCATGCACGCAAGTCAGGGCTCCAACCTAAGCTCCACACTGAACATGTACGATTTGGGTGATGGCTCTTATTCTCTGTGCCTCTGTCTCCTCATGTCCACATTGTACCTCACAGTGTGGTGGGTAAGAACATGCAATGTTGTTATGAGTGTGCCTCCACACTAGATGGCACTCGGTAGTGGCATTTACCATTATTTTGATCACAACTGTAAAGACACTCACAAAAGAGGTCTTCCAGAACTGCCTCAGAAAACGGTAAGAATGATTACAGGGATAAATGTATTGCAAGTGTGGGGAAATATTCTGAGGGGAACTAATGGTAATGTGTCTTTTACTGTAATAAATTTTAATTTAAGCATTAAATTTGACTGATATATTTTGCGCACTCCGTTCCTTCATAGCTCAGTATGTGAAATGGTTGAACAGAGAGAAGGAGAGCAAGGAAGGATTGAGGTTTCAAAAGGTGCACAAAACCACAAACAGTAATCACAATGTTTACCTGCTTCAGATTCAGGGGGGGAATAAAACTGACCATCTGAAAGACCGGCGGGTATGAGGGCGGCCCTCTCTGACGCATCCTGAACAAGCAGGAATCCTGGAAGAGAAGAAATGCAAATGATGAATGTGACGTAGTTCCTGCTGCCTTCTCAGCAGGTTAAGTGTGGTACAATGGTATCATTATTACTACCTTAAAGAAAGTCTTAGAAAAAAAAGTAGACCAACTTTCAACCAAAAACCAAAGGTTTCATTAATAAGCTACAATGATAACTTAGTAGTTTAAAAGTTGTGACACGGAATGCTGGGATTCCTAAACGCAGGAGTTATAGTATCTTTCCTGTCGGAATCCCCATCCCCCTACAAATACCAACACCAACCTCAAAACCCAACACTGTCCAGCTCATACAAAGGCTGGCCAGTCTGCGTTTGGTTAGAGAAATGCCAGATGGCATGGAATACTTAGGTGGCCTTTATAAATACATAAAGGACAATGAAAGTGATGAAGAACTATTTATGTAAAAAAAAAAGGGGGGGTATCAAAATTCCAAGAAAAAGAGAGGGAAGTCCTAGAACACTCACACCTTATAGGTAAGGCTATCAACACTTGAGTCCTTGGCCCAAGGCTGAGTGGAGTTAAGCTACAGAGCAAGGAACCTGGTGAGCATGTCAGCTACTAACAGCTACAGTCAGTGCTGTTTTTAAGATTTCGTTCATGTAAAGGTACAAGATCCCAATAATGAATGTAACTGTACTGTATACCTAAAATGTACCAATAAACTCAATTTAAAAAAAAAGATTTTCGTGAACTGTATTCTGCTTTATTAACCACTGTGAATTTTAATATATAACCTAAAAAATACCAATAAACTCAATTTAAAAAAAAAGATTTTCGTGAACTGTATTCTGCTTTATTAACCACTGTGAATTTTAATATATAGCCATTCAAATCTTAATCATATTAACAGTTAATATGCTATGAATAAAGTTCAAGTTGATGATCACGTATAATAAAGACACTTCTACTGGCTTTAGCTGTGCCTTTCCTATATTACTCTTTCATCAAGAAAAAGAGGGCACGGGATAGCAGAAACTTCTTGGAGTGATTATATTTCTAAGATCTACTCTTGAATTATGCATCTTTTCTTATAGATTTCTCTTCTGTAGAAGAGATTTTTCCAAAATAAAACTACGCGCAAAGAAATTTCTGGTCCTATTTTTTTTCTGAGGCTATAAACATGCTTAACTTTCAACAAGATACAAGATTTTGTCCTATGAGGTAGGGAAATATGAGCTGGGAAATGGGAAAGGTTACTCAGGTGGGCAGCACACAGGCATCTGAGCTGAGCTGGGATTACCGATCTTCGAGGGTGGGGCAGGCCTGCGGTATCTACCAAAGCAACCTGTGGCGAAGAAACCCCGCCCAAGGATTATCCATGCAGCTCAATTCACCACTTGGCTTTCCTGGTTCTTCCTGGGATACCCAAAGCTAAGCAGAAGGCTATGGCAGCCTTGGCAGAACTTGGTGGAGCTGTCAAGAGGACAGCAGAGGGCTGAGAAGGCTGAGCGCTGCTCTGGCTGGCTGGGCTCCTCCTCCTTTGAACTCCAATTTCCTTACTACAGTCCCAGCTCTAGGCAGGTTAAGTGTTTCATTATGGCCTATCCCAAGCCCTCACCTCCTGTGTGCAGAGTTAGGATGCTTTGCAGAACCATTTCCTGCTACTTAAAACTGCTACTTTGACTTATCTAAATGGGCTGTGTTTTCTCTGCCTCTCAACAGCAGTTCAGTGAAATGCACCCAAAGCTTGGTGTCCTGTGAGGATTAACAGTATAATTACTAATCACCTCTGAGGGGAACTTTTTTTTCTTTACTATGAGCAGCCTCCAGACTTCTATTGGGAAGCCCAGCCCACCAGGAAGGAGGAGGAGCTGCTTCTTGTCATTGTCCTCTTACCCACTCAGCCCTTCTCTCCCTCTGCCCCTGCTGTGACAACCTTGCTCTGCCCACCTGCAGCTGGCTCACTTCCGGGAGCCACACCCCTCCCTCCCCTTGACACCCAGCCAGTCCCAGGAGGCCAACTGTGGCAGAAACTTACTGTTCTCCTCTTCTGCTTCTTGAGGTAACACTTTGAAATCCAAGAACCATGTCTCAATCCAGGCAAGGATGAATGAAATGATGGGCAGCACATAGCCAAATGCCCCTTGTGAGAAAAGCTGGAAGACAGACATGACAGAGAGGGAAGGTAGTCACCATCGGCTCTCACTGGAAACTCAAGGCGTCTTCACTACTGTGGGCGATGGTGCAGAGAAGGGGGGCCATACCTTTGAGAGGATCACTTTTGCTAGTAGAAAGGCACTGGTCACTGCTGTTGTCAACTGCAACACACATAATGTACTGTCACTCAAGTTAAATGTTTCACACTGCAAAGACCCCTCCTGCACATGAGGGACCCAACGGAGGCAGGGACAGGTGATATCTCAAACACCTGTGCCCAGCCTGGCTTTGCACCCCTGTTCTGTCTCTGCACTTGCCTCAGAATGAATGTCTGTGATAGTCCTTCACCACATTTTGGAGGCCAATGTTAGAACCTGTACAAGCACACAGAGGAAGGGTCCGTGGAAGTGAAGACAGGGCTCTCCCTGAGGTGGTTAGAAAGCCCAAAGAGAATCCTAGAGGACTCAAGCCCTGTCACTCCCTCTTCCACTGGTATTTTCGCTCAGTGAAACCTGACCGAAGTCAATGCCAATCGCAGCCATGACCGACAGAGTGGAAAGTAAGGTGTGCAAGTTTTAAGTAGATACACACACGCACATACGCATGTACACACACACACACACACACACACACACACACACACACACACACACACACACACACACACACACACACACACACACACA